TTTCAAATTGAAAAAATTGCATGCGATAAAAAATAATAAAATGTTAGAAAATTTTACAAATTCTATATTAACATCATTATTGGCATATTTTTATGCAATTTTTTTTAGATTTTATACTTTTATGCCAAGAGGGCATTCCGAATTTACAAACAATTTGTTAAAATCGGTCCAGTCATTCTTGAGATATAAGCATTCTATCTAACATCCCTTTCCTTTGTATATACACATTGTATATATTTCGCTATATGTACCCGATATATTTGCTATTGGCTTCTACGTAACGGTCAGAATTGGCCTGTTCGTCTATTTGTAATTTCGCCTGGATTAAAAATATTTGCGGTTTATGGGAAATTTGACTATTATTTAATACAAATGTTATGGTCCATTTCACCCACTAAATATTACCCGATGACCATCAAAATTGGAAGGCTTTGCTTTGAAAATTAGGAAATTTTTCAGTTTTTGGTCCATTTCAATCCCTAAATATTATGCGACAATCTCCAAAAGCTTCTATTCTGGCTCTAGCCCCACCTCCATTCTAAATTTCGTGAGATCGGGCCATAATTGCTAAATGTAGAGTGATTACAAATTAACATGGACGGACGGACGGACATACATAGTTAGATCGATTCAGCTCGGCGAGATAAGACCAATGGAAAACCAATTATTCGAGGTGTTACATAATTCTTGGCCCAATCAAACTAATAATACCTCCAATACCCCCCATATATACTAAAAATAATTGCAGTAAACAATTCGCGCACAACCGGCAAAATGAGCGATCGCAATCAATCGCGAACGTTCGTTTTCATTGGTGAGCGATTGTCAAAAATGATTTCTATCGTCAACACAAAGAACGAGTGTTTGCGAATATTTGTTGAACGAACGTTCGTCAATACAATCCCAAAATGAGCTCAAGTGAGAAGATCGTAATTTCTATCGTTTTTTTGCGCACCATAGTTTTAACCACAACCAAAAAGTTATTAACCTTTCATGTATTCACATACATATCTATAAATATTAGAAAGTGTGAATAATTATTATATTCTTTTTGTTAACTTGTAAAATAGTTGTTTTAAATAACTTATTTGACATTTTATGTTTTATAAAATTTATTCTTCTACATTAGACATATGGACAACATTATATCTTATACATGCATACTTTTGTTAAATTCTATTTGAGACCAGGGTATTACTAGTTCACAGAAATATTTTGAATCGCAACAAGTAAAAGGGGCCGAAGCATACTTTTTATATCACCCACCTTGTGCAAACTAAAATTGTTAAACAAAAAATTGTCTTAAAATCCCCAACAAAGGCAGTCATCATTGTTTCAAATAACTTTATTTAAAACGTTTTGTTTGCAATATTCAGACTTTTGAATGTGATAAAATAAAAAATCCTGAAAAAATTGGCATTACCTGAACATTACGAACATTTAACTGAACAGTAGAACTTGCCACCTAAAGCTAAGTTCCGTTGGGCGAAATTTTAATACCCTCCGCCATTAGTTAAACACAAGTAAAACAAGTAAGCAAAGGCTACAGTCGAGCCGGGCCGACCGTTGAATACCCTACAACACTATAATAAAAGATACAGTTTATATAGGCGAGATACTCGAAAGATTTCCACACGATATTGTGACAAAAGAAAACCATCAGGTTTCGTTCTCTAATTTTCGAATAAAAGCAACTTAAACTAATTTGCTCATTTCCAATTTATTGGTAGATGTTGCACTTAAATGGTCTTCCTAGATCTGTAACCAATATTTCCCAAAGACCTATAATCTCTCAGAAGTGGAAAAAAATTAACATTTATTATTGGTTTTTGACTAAAACGCATCTATATGAGATACAGACATTTGACTACATTCATCAACGAAATCAGCCTTAACGAAATAGTCAGAAGTGCGTCTTTCCTGTATTTGCGAATTCTCCAAAAAGTCACTGGAATGGATATTTTCGTATTTTGTCTACAAAAGTTGGCAAGCTATTTCACACATTGAATATTTTTGGATGGTCATCCGAAAATGCTTGGCTTTTGCAATGTGCGGTAACCCCCATTTAAATGTGCATGAGGATCGGGCGATAATCACGACCTGCTGACAATTTTGCAGTTTTTTGGTCCATTTCAACCCCTAAATATATAACGATCATCTCCAAAAAAAGTAGGCATCTATTCTGACCCTCATATTATCCCCATGCAAAATTTCGTAAGGATCGGCCCATAAATGCGATCTGTATATGATATCCTGATATCCTAACTACTTAGTTTTGTTAGCTGTAGAAATATTGCCAAATGTTTAATTCAAAATGAAAATATGACAAAATTGAAAAAATATGAGAAAATTTTACAAAATCAATATTTAGAGAGATATTTTTATGCGATTTTTTAGACGTTTTTTCTTTCCTGCCAAGAGGCCATTCTGAATTAATGAGAACTGTCGAAATCAGTTCAGCCGTTCTCGACATATAAGAGATCTTTCAAGCATATCTCCTTTGATAGACATATATATCGCACATATTTTGCTATATATCCGATTTGTTGGATAATAACATCAATGTAAAGGTCAGAAGTAACCTTGTGATGGCTTTGTGATTTCGCCGGGATTTAAAATATTCACGGAATAATGAAAAATTTTGATTTTTTTCAACATAAAAGATATGGTCTATTTTACCCGCTAAATATTATCCGATGCCCACCCAAATTAGTAGGCTTCTTCCCCGCCCTAAACTCTATTTATATGCGAAATTTCGCGTCGATTGGTCTATAATTGCGACCTGTATAGCTACTGCAAAATCCGACATTTTTTCAGTATTTGGTCCATTTCAACCCCTAAACATTTGGCGATCATCTCCAAAAGCAATAGGGTTCTATTCTGGTCCAAGCCCCACCTACATTCTAAATTTCGTGAAGATCGGGCCATAATTGCGACCTGTAGAGTGATTACAAATTAACATGGACAGACGGACAGACGGACGGACGGACATACATAGCTAGATCGACTCAGCTCGGCGAGCTAGGAAGATCCATATATACTTTCCTATATGGGAAATCAATATTTCGAGGTGTTACATAAATTCTGGCCCAATCAAACTTATAATACCCTCAACACATAGTGTTGTAGGGTTTAATAATACCCCCAACACATAGTGTTGTAGGGTATAAATATTAAGGTCGGCTAGGCTGAACTTCAAATACACTCCAACATTAGTTAAAGAAAACATTTTTATATAAAAGTATCTGGACTCAAACGTTATGCCTCGTGAAAAAAGTGGCTAAAATGATCCAAATATCCAATATTTTGCAACTCTGAACCGATATTTGCAACAGTTAGGCGAGAACCCATCATGAATTTGAATTAGATAGGTCCAAAGTTTTGTAATTTTAAGTATAATCGGCAAAACATATGTTGCGTTCCCGTACTCCCTCCAATATATAAGGCATTAAATTATCAAGTAATTGTCAAATTCATCATGTAAAAACAAGTAAAGTGACGTCTTACTTATGTAAGTTGTCTTGCTGAAAAATGTTACTACTTTTTCGGATAAAGGAACTGTGTTCGAGCAATGAATGGAAAAGTGTAGTAAAGTTCCGGAGCACAATTATACCAAGTTTTATTAACCTTGGGCAATAATAAGTTGTAATTACTTGACGACACAAGGTCAGTTGCTCACTTCTTTTGTTGTAAAAACACTTTTTTTAATAGAAAAATAAGCATTAAAAAGAAAAAAGAACAATCATCCTAGATCCGATATTTGGAGGTGTTACTAACGGAATGACAAATTAAATATACCCTCCCTTTCATAGTGAAGAGAATAAAAATCTCTGTTTCGCGAAAAATACTGGTACAACATTTAATTTTAAAATTTGTGAAACATTTATTTATGTTTATCCTTCTCTTCTCTGTCAAAAGTATTTTTGCTAGGAGTCTAGCAAATAAGATCAATACTCTCCTTTTTAGGTTCCTCGAAAACATACTTTTGGCAGCAAGAGAAGACTAAGGTTGGAATTCGTTGTCTGTCTAACACATTTAAATTGGACTTTGGAATCGACTTCTATTTTTGTCCAAGCTTACTAGGACCTACCAAATCTGTCCGTCCGCGCCACTTATGGTATAAAATAGAATATTTTATAAGAATGTTAATTTTCAAAATTTATAAAAGAAAGTATATCAGATCAAGGTTTAGCTTATATTTAAGTATTGAAGGCGGATTTGTTATTAAAATTATAAAGATAAATAATTTGATGTTAGCTCTAAAATAAGAACAGATGTGAACGTTAGAGCGAGGATAGATTTTTGATAGACAACCATTTTTCCTAGTAACTGCGTTAAACTGGCATTTCTAGTTTTATGATAATAAGTAGACAGACACCCTATACTAAAAAACGGTGAAGGGTGTAATAGATTTATTTATAATTTCGACAGTGAGGTTTACCACGTATCCGTACTTACTTACTTTTGTTTGTCCGTCCATCGATTTGGTCTAAAATTGGTACATTGTAATATTATTATAAAACTTAGACTTAGCTCGGAAATAGTCAATATCGATCTATTCCTTCTGGTACCTCCCCACAAAGGTCTACATTTCCACAGAAAATAAAACAAGAGAAGGTCATCCGATGTTGTTCAAGCTTTGCAAATCCTAATATTTGAATTAATGATAGTTCCGGTGGGAAAATGGACAATATCGTTTCACTCTATCAAGTACACTCACAATGCGTCGAAATCTTGAATAATTATAACTCTTTTAAAATGTGAACTAAGAATTTGATTATTTTCACAGTTCTCACATTCCAATATTTCTATCAACACAAGATCTGGTGTGAAGATGGGATATATCGGCCCACTTCTTCTGGTACCTTCCCCAAAAAGGGTCAAAATTTTGAAACAATTTTTTATTTTTTTCTGTTTTTCTCGAACAATTTTTGATTTGTTGATATCTTTAAAGTTAAAAGGTTAAGCATGGTTAAACACGTTCACTTTATTTGATTCAGCAAATTTAAAAAGTCTTCATGAACTTGATCCGGAGAACAACAAATTGGTTCAACATTAAATAAATTGAAAATAGTTGAAACAAAATAAAATTATTTGGTATCGGGTTGTCGTCAGCCAGTACTTTGTTACATTTCCTTTGAATCGCTTGTAGCTTTTCTAGACCACCAAGATAAAGATACATATTATTTTGACAGACTAAAATAGTGTAACTTATTTCAACTGATAAATGTGTATCTGCTTCAATGTCTTAAAATGTTAAATTATGATTAGGTTTCGAATATTTGACTGGTTTAAAATAATGTTAAATCAAGTTTTGATTTGGCCATTTCATATTTCGGGCATAAAAACGCTTTCGACTTTAAATCTATATAGTTCTTCGATTCGCGTTTCGCTATAAGAAGTAATCATTTTACCAAATTATTTAGTGCTTTTTATAAAAATCCACATTTCCACAAACCATCATTATACGTTACAATCTCCAGTATAAGCAAATAAATTAAAAATATTGTAGTTTTGCCATGAGAGACTTCTGTTGTTTGGTCTGAATTGAGTTGTATAATTTAATATTTTTACATTTTTTCTTAAGTAATATTTTCCATGATAACTCTAAAATGCAGAGTAATGTCCTTTCATAACTTTTCGATTATATCAATTACAATTCTATAAGAACAATTTATTAATATTTTTAATAGAAAAGGAAAATATATTAATTATCTACTTATTTAGTTACAGTACATCCTTAACACTGCAAGTTTAATTTCTTATATTCATCGAAATCTTAGATATTACATATGTATACATAGATATAACTAATATTAACTTAATTATGAATTTATCTACTAATGTTGTGAGTGTGTGTATGTGTTTTCATATGGTGCGCTTAATTCATACCTAGAAGTCTTTTGAACGCTCGTCTATAGTCCAAATTGAAAATTGTATATATAATGGGGTTCAACACGGAATTTATGTAACCTAGCCATGTGATGAAGTTCTTAAATTTCACTGTGGGACAACACGTCGAACAGAACGGCAAAATGACGTACATAAGGAAGAAAGGTAACCAGCATATGACGAAAACGCCCATTATAATGCCGAGAGTTCGTGCTGCCCTTCGCTCCTTTGACAATGAAATCTTTTGCTTTTCTTCGATGAACTGATATACGCCCCCCGGTTTCTTTTGCAATGGAACTGTTTGCAACGACGTTGCGCCTACAGACGACTGGGGTGGGGTAATTTTCAGAGACACATTTTCCTCCTCGCCGTCACCGGCTGAGATTTCATTGGCGTCGTTCCGACTTCCACACACTTGCATGCAATCTTTTGCGTCGCTGCCGCTCTCAGTAGATATTTCTTGATTTTCATTTTCTGTGCCTTTGGTATTGGGTGTCAGTAGAAGACTTTCCGCACCACTTCCTATCTCCTTAGATTTCTGTACTTCTGGGTGGTCGTTAAATGTATGACCTGACCGAGCCTTTAGTTTTCCATGTTTAATGGAGTCTTTGATTTTGGCTCTTCGGGTCCTTTTTCGCTGTGAAGCCACAGTTGGCTTGGTATCTGTTTGATTTTGAACTCTTGTACTTTCGTTGTTGGCATTTGTTTCGCTACTTTCGGACTCTTGGTCGTTTTGTATCATCGGCGTTGTAGAGAATGGCGTCGAGTTGCGGCAGCAACAAATGACGCTGTAACACAAAATGGATATGGTGCCATTTCCCGTTTGATTTGCCGTCACAGTAGTGCTTGCTACATCAGCGCTGAGAGATCGTGCGGCAATTGTGTTTATCTTTGCCGCCTGCGCCCTTTCTCGTAGTCGTCTCCGGGTAGCAACAAATATTTCTATATAAACCAATGTCATTATGATTAATGGAATGAAGAATGATCCCAGTGAAGAATAAATTACGTAGCCAGGATCAGAATTTAGTTCGCAAGGAGTGGCACTGGTAAACTCTTCCGGCCAATCATTCCAACCAACCAACGGTGGCGAACTGATGAGTAGCGATAAAATCCAGACACCAGCTATTAACAGCAAAACTCTGCCAACTGTCCGCTTTTGAGCATAGTTGATGGGGTCCGTAATGGCCCAATACCGATCTAGGGCAATAGCGCACAAATTCAATATCGAAGATGTGCAACACATGACATCGCACGTTAGCCACATCTTACACAAATATATACCAAATTCCCATCGGCCCAGGATGGAGTAGGCTACATTGAATGGGAGCACCAACAATGCAACGGTTAAATCGGCGACTGCCAACGAGACGATAAAGAAATTCTGAACGATGCGCAGAGGTTTGTATGTGAAAACGCTCAGAATAACCAATATGTTGCCAATAATTGTCAGCACAATTATTATGGACAGTACGATAGCTGTGAGTATTGCCTCCCATTCTGGTACGGCCAATTTGACACCAAAGTAGCTGTCATGCCACTCCTCCTCTTGCGCCACACATCCACTTTCCGCCAAGGATGTGACATCGTAAGCTGTACTATTGCCCCCTATTATACCCACGTAAATTGAGCTAACGTTATCTAATGTTGTTGATGTTGTGACTCCGGTGCTCAGCACTGAGGAAATACTGGCGCTTGTGATTGGAACTGCGGAGGTGTTGCTTGTGGCTGCGACAGTGGTTGGGCTAGTTAACATCGTTTGATCAGCAGGTGTCATTTTTGTGTTGGAGACAGTCACGATGGGTATCTATTGCATTCCATTCATTTGACCTGTAACGAGAAGGAGCAACGCAAACAATAATTATTATACTTGTTGCAATAATTTTTGTTGTAGTAACTGACGAATAATCTATGTGTGCATTTATATTTAATGCTAATCATACTTGTTGTTTGGGTAGATATTATGCTTGAAAATGTACATACCACCATAGTATGGAGGGTATATTAAGTTTGTCATTCCGTTTGTAACACCTCGAAATATACATTTTAGACCCCACAAAGTATATATATTCTTGATCAGCATAAAATTCTATGTCGGTTTATCAATGTCCGTCCGTCTATCCGTCTGTCCGTCTGTGGAAATCACTCTAGCTTCCGAACGAAATGAAGTAGGTTGATAAAATTTTACTAAAATGTGTACTATGTCTGCAGGACTTTTGGGATTGAAAATGGGCCATGAAGGTCTACGTCTCCGTATAGCCCCCATATAACGGTACCTCGCGATATGCGGTATTTTGATGATTCTATTGACATTTTTTTACCGGAATTGTACCAAAATTAATATTTAAAGTTCTTAATAGATGCTACGGTTTAAGACAGAAAATGAGTCATGTAGGTCCACGTCTTCGTATAGCCCCCATATAACGGTACCTCCCGATATTCGGTATTTTGATGATTTTAGCGACGTTATTTACCGGAATTGTTTCAACTTTGGCATTTGAAGTTCGTAATGGATATTACAGCCTATGACAGAAAATTGTCTCTGCAGATCCACGTTTTATAACCACCATGGTACCTCCATATATTCCGCATTTTGATGATTTTAGCTACATTATAAACATATAGATAGACCCTAATATAATACATTCGGCTACATTCGGTATTTTTAAAATTCTAACAGAAGTTTTAACGAATTTTATTGTTTTTGAGAATTGCCAAATTCGTTCCAAATGGTGGAGGGTGTTCAAAGTTCGGCCAGTCCGAACTTACAGCTTTTTTAGTTGTTAAATTAAAGAAGATCAAACATTTTTACGATACTTGACTTCAAAATAGGACAATTGATGAAATAAGTAAGATAAGTGCTATAGTCAGTCGTGTCGAACCACGTGATAACCTAATTTATTGATCCTGAGCATTTCACATTTCCCCCCTGAGAATAACATTTATAAACACCAAATAACGTCGGTATTACAAAATTAAAACTGAAGAAAGACGTAGTAGCTATAATTAATGGCATATTTTGTGGGAAATATGAACGAACAAGACCTCTGAAAAATCCGCTAGAATTTGTACAAAGAGTAAAACTCAATCGAATTCGAAGCTACATAAAAATCTGATCCGATCCCGATAAAACTTGACAGATGTTGCCAAATATCATTGTTGGGAGTGCATATTACGCATATGAGAGACTTTAAAACCGAATTGGATGAAATATATATGTGGGAGCTATAGCTACATCTGAACAGATTTTCTCTAAATTTGATGTACTTGATGCTAGACTAAATTCAGGTTATTTGGACTAATATTGGTAATTTGGTGCAGAATTTACCCGAAGATATATACAGGGTGAGATGAAAAAACTGCGAAAAAACCCGAAGATATATACAGGGTGAGATGAAAAAACTGCAACCAACTTCAGACTGCTGTTATTTCTAAGCCACTCATCCGACAGCTGTTAATATCATTCCAGTGACAACTCATTATATTGTTTACGAGCGTACAAAAGCACTTTGGTGACAATTTTCCAGAAAAAAAGTTATTAATGTTGGAATTCAAGCGTGATAGTGTGATTTCTTTATATTTGGCTGGAAAACCACAAGTGGATACCATTAAAGCACTCCAGCATTTATTTGTGAGTAAATCTTTTGTGTTTCGTACCATCGCTCGATACCGTGATACTGGTAGCGTAGCCGAGGAAGTTGTCGGAAGAAAACAGCAACATCAGCAGAAATGGTTCGAAAAGTAAAGAAGCGACTCGATCGAAACCTGCGTCGCACCTGCCGAAAATGGCTCGTGAGCTGAACATATCACGATATTCCATTCGGCAAATATTGAAAAATGAGCTTGGGGTAAAGCCATTGAAATTCCAAAAAGTGCAAGAACTTACATCACAACAGAAAGAAAATAGATAAATAGACTCACTGCCGAATTTGGATTTCTCCGATGGGAAAACATACGTTTTCGAGCAGTTTGTAAACCAACAGAACGTTCGAGGTCAACTGAAAATGTGCACCTTCGGTTGGCAACCAGAACTCCGGCTTCGGCCATGGCGATGGTGTGGCCGCCATAACAGCCGATGGTCGTTCTCCGCTCGCATCAATCGACCGTGGCATCAGAATAAATGGCGAATATTATCGCGAAAATATTCTGGAGGGTGTATTAAAGCCTTGGGCACGCAAACATTTTGGCCGCAGATCTTGGACATTCCAACAGGACTCAGCACCATCGCACTCAGCACGCGCCACACAAGAATGGTTACAAAATGAGGTTCCTCGCTTCATTTCCAGCGCACAATGACTACCAAAATCTCCGGATACCAATCCGTTGGACTATTGTGTCTGGAGTATTTTGGAAAGCAAGGTTGGCACTGAGAAATACTGCCAATAAGAAAGTGTCGATCACCTCGAGCAAGCGCTTCGCCGGGAATAAGCCAAAATACCGCAGAAGCGTGTGACGGTTTCTTTGGCGTTTGAATGCCATAATTCGTGCCAGAAGTGACCAATTCGAACAAATCTAAACTTATTCTAAAATTTGATGATATTTCCGAAAATTTTTGCTTTCATTCAATAAAATTAAAAAAAAGTAAAAAATTGTGGCGTTTGACTTTGTTGCAGTTTTTTGTTTATCTCACCCTCTTTGGGAGCTATACCTAAATTTGAAATGATTCTCGCCAGTTTCAAAAGGATTCGTCTTTGTGCCAAATAAACATAGTTTGGATAATTTAATTTTAATAGTAAATGAATAAATAATAAATGTTAACCGCATTTCGTTCAGAAAAATACATGGAACAACGGAATGACATGTATAAATCGATTTAGAAAGTGATTCTATGAAGATCCTCAAAAGTAACTATGGGTCTATATCGCTTCCTTCTCCATGTTACAAACAAATGATATAATACCCTTATCACTATATGATGTAGGGTATAATGAATATATGATCTATATGATTTGTATGTTGCCACCAGAGGGCAAATTAAAATGCGACTTATTATAGGTGCGCAACCCGGAACTGACTTGAATAACTTCTGTAGGGGAGTGGTTGTTTTCAGTTCGTTTCAGGATGCAGTGAGACAATTTTGGTCAGAAAATTGTGAAAATAGACGAAAGTAAAATTAGAAGACGAAAATTCAACAGAGGGCATTGGGTAGAGGGACAGTGGAGGAGTGGAGAGAAGATCCAATTAATTTTTTATTGGATCCTCATTAAAAATATATTTTTCCGAGAGTTTCTATATTCTCAGAATGTTTGGAAATTATGTTTTTTATAATATCCATTAAAATACAAATACTAATATTTGTGTATATATTTTATAGGCTTATGGCACACTGTCGGAGGAGGCGTATACCCACCATAAGGTGAATCATTCATTGGATTTTGTGAACCCTCAAACAGGGTACCGCGCTTATACAAATGAAGGCCTATGGAGGACTTTAAGGCTTCGCTGCCTAAATATAGCCGTCGAAAGCTATTTTTAACAGATATTAAAACAAAATTACATATTCTTACGGTGGTCCAGCGTGAATGGCAAAGATATATTTTCTGAATTTTTAAAATATGCTAAAATATGCTGCTTTCAGGCAGAAACTTTAGAAGAAGAAAAAGAAATTTAAATGTATGTTTTTATACCCCACACACTATGTGTTGGGGGTATTATAAGTTTGATTTGGCCAAAAATTATGTAACACCTCGAAATATTGGTTTTCCATATAGGAAAGTACATATGGATCTTCCTATTTCACCGAGCTGAATCGATCTAGCTACAGGTAGAAATTATGGCCCGATTTTCACGAAATTGAAAATGGAGGTGGAGTTATGGTCAGAATAGAAGCCTATTGCTTTTGGATCGCGTAATAATTAGGGGTTGAAATGGACCAAAAACTGAAAATGTCCTGATTTTGCAGTTGCTCTACAGGTCGCAATTATAGACCAATCGACGCGGAAGTTATCTTGGGGATAGAGCTTAGAGCTGGGCAGAAGCCTTCCAATTTTGATGGTCATCGGGTAATATTTAGTGGCTAAAGTGGACCATAACATTTGTGTTAAATAATAGCCAAATTTTCCATTAAACCGCGAATATTTTTAATCCCGGCGAAATCACAAATAGGTCAATCCTGACCGTTACGTAGATGCCGATAGTAAATATATCGGATATATATAGCGAAATATATATATAATGTGTATATACAAAGGAAAGGGATGTTAGCTAGAATGCTTATACTTCAAGAATGGCTGGACCGATTTTGACAAATTGTCAATTCCGAATGGCTTCTTGGCATCAAAGAAAGAAATCTATTTTGTGACATTTTTTATTTTTTTTTTCATACTTTTTATCGGGTTATGCTCATAATAGCTAGGCCTAACCGCAACTAAAAATGTTCCTGATTTTGCGGCCGTTATAAAGGCCACAAATAGAAAAAAAATTCTACATTTTGAATGACAATTGGATTATATTTAGCTGCAAAATGGATCACAACAACTTACAGCACGGCGGGGTCCCTTGTCAAAATGCTAAGGGTAATATCTGGGCGGTGCTCCGTGACATTATTTCAAATGCGAAATCTTCCAAAATAGATTTGGACATAAGGGAGCTTCTAACATATTGTAGTGTTGTAGGGTATCACATGGCCCTGCTATAGCCTTTGCTTACTATAGCCTTTGATACTATTGTAAAATAGTATTAAATAAACTGTTGAATTTTAATAAATTTTCGAAGTTGTGTGTTTCATGTACAAAGTAAAATAAAATTATTTAATTTGCATATTATTTCCGACGTTTCGTCACTGTTTTAGTGACTTTTTCTGGGAAATTCGTCTGTTTAAATAAATTGAA